AAAAGACGACCCATATTATCACACAGTTCACACATTTTTTGCAACATATAAATGTAAGTCTCTGTTTTTTTGTCAGGCAGCAAACAAAATACAAGTAGTACATAATGCCCATTTTTGTACCCATGAATTGTATACATTTGAGTAAAAAATCTAGCACTGTATTGGAAAGTGCCATCCATGTATATAGTTTGGACATCACATAAGAATTTTAAATTTTTTGCAAATGAAAAAATCAAAACGTTTTTAGAATCATCGTTTAATAATAAGAACGGTTCACCTTGCATTGTCAAAATGTTCATATCTCGTAAAGAGTCGTGCACAGATTGTATAGAAGTTGGATTAGCCGGAAGAATTTTTCGTCGGCTTTCATACATATTTTTTCGTACACGATCTACGTCTTTAACGGAAATAGTAGTACATACGCTTTGTCCAATTTCCCGTAAAATTATTTTTTTGGGCCTCATACTTACATCTTCTACCGCTTTACGCTTACAGGCTGAATTGATAATTTGTCTGTCAATTAGACGTCTATCGATAGCACTATGATCTGCTGCATGACTTCCTTCAACCTTGACYAGTACGTAATTCGTTTTTGTAAACATTTTAGCATTACATTTTTTCTCGTAGCACCTCCACCAGTAATACCGTCTTTAGATRTATACGCATGTATAAATTTAAAATTGTTGTATATTAGCATAATATTACTGCGGTTACAGGTTATCACTTCAATATTGGGTATATTCTCCGACATTATAGAAACTTTTTTATAGAACGCGGTTTCAACTGACAGGTGCAGACTGATAGCGAACAATAATCCGTCAATTATCCGCGGATATCGCTATAATAATAGCGCGTACATCGAATCTATCATTACTATTTGATGGATTCAGTTCAGGGGTTCTCAAAAAAAATGTATTAATTTGTTTTGGCGGAAATCGGAATATAACCTTCGGCGGAAAACTCGTCTCCGATTAGAATCGTTTTTCGTATACAATGATATTATGTCATTGAATTCAAATTTAATACCATCCATTGCAGTAACCTACTTGTAAACTACTGTACAGCAGAGTGACATCCACTTACTTAC